CGATCAGACAGCACCACGAGGCTAGGCCTGCGATGGCAAATATACTGCCTCTGAGGACATCCAGCAATCGGTGAACACAGTCTGTGCGGCAAAAACACAACCTAAGTTCGGAGCCGTCTACTGGCTGCTGCAGCGCAGCAATTTTATTAACCCGCGCACCGACGGGGGTCTGCGCCAACTTAGTACCGACGGGGGGGGGGGGCGGATGACCGCCCCCCCCTGAGATCTCGAGAACGAAGCAAGATAGCGACAAGCGGTAAACGGCATCGGATACGCACGGACAAGGTCTACAATTTTTACTAAGGTCATTTTCAGGTCAGGTCAAAGATGACGTCACAAGGGTCGAAAAAGTCAAAATGGCGGCGCTAGATATGGAGAGGGTTTTTCTCGAATAACTTTCGAAGTAGTCAAGATAGGAACAAACTAAGGGCATCATCGTGATCCTCTCGTCAATCCGCATCGAATGATATATATGTTGACCTCGAAAGGTCAAGGTCAAAGGTTGACCTCAGGTCACGTGACCTCGAGGTCATCATGTATATCATTCAATGCGTCTTGACGAGCTGAACACAATGAGACCATCCGCGCGGCTGTATCTTGTTCCTGTAAGGAGTTATTGGCAAAAAACCTTTGGTGACCTTTGATGACGTCACATGACCTTACAGCTGCCCAACAGCAAAACAGACCTCAAGGTAGTGAAGGTTGATCGTATGTGAAGTCATGTATGGTATATGGGGCCATTCCGACCCGTTTTAGTGGTAAAAACAGGGAGTTGATTTTTCCCCCATTGACTTATAATGGGGAGGTCGCGAAATTGACCTGACCTTAGGTCACCGACATCAAAATTCCGAGATATACAAATTGTAGCTACTAATGACCTAATAACATCCTGCGACTTTCAAAGGCCTCCGACATCTACTGTAGCTCTGGCACGGTGACAAAGTTGCAAAAAAGTGACTTGAGGTTGGGTCATTCAAAGTGACCTGGTGACCTGACCTTAAAAGTTAGGAGGTTCAAACTTGCACACCATGTGTAAAATTGATGAGAGAATAGTCATACCAAATTTCGCGGCGCTACGCGCCGCGGTTTTCCCGCTATCCGCGAAAAACCTCAGGGGGGGGCGGATATCCGCCCCCCCCCCCGTCGGTGCGCGGGTTAAACGATTCTCCGAAGGGGACCTTTGGGCTGTGAATTTTATTGTTTTACTTTGCCAGCTTGGCTTCACGCGTGAAGTGTCTGCTGAGCAGGTCGTTTGTCTAGGAGTATGAAAGTTTATTTTAGTACCACCTCTTCAAGCATTCGTCTCTTTCAGACGTGAACGTTACGTGTGTGACGTGTGTTACGTGACGTGAACGTGTGTTAGGTGACTTCAATGCCGATATTGGAAAAGGGACTGAATTTGGCAACGAGCTTCAGTCATTCTGTAACTCATCTCAACTATTTGTCGTTGATGTCATGAATCTTCCTCCTAGTTCGATGACGCATGTAAATGATGGACATGGCACGGAGTCTTGGATTGACCACGTCGTCTGCACCAAAGGTTTCACTGCGGTCATTAATGCTGTGGAGATAGATTATTCCATTTTAAGTTCCGATCACTTTCCCGTGTCTATCAATGTAGATGTGCAGGGCTGTGAAATCAAATGTGATACTCATGCGACATGTATGGATGATAGGTGGGTTGTGGACTGGGGTTTATTAGGTTCAGGTGACTTGCAGGCTTTTGAATCGGCCGTCAGTGATAACTTGCGCAGCATTGTTATACCGGACGACTTGCTTACTTGCGAGGGCTGCGCATCGCTTGACCATACTAATGTTATTGAAACTTATTACGACCAAATAGTTACTTGCATTAGGAACGCATCGGAGAAAACCATAGGTAGGAAGGTGGGAGGTAAATCACGGAAGGTTGTTCCCGGCTGGAATGAATTGGTTGAAGACAAGCACATTCTTCTCAATGATTTATACGCGTTATGGTCATTCGTGGGTAAGCCTAAATGTGGATATATTTTTGATCAGCTTCGACTGGCTCGGTCACGTTTTAAATATGCCTTACGTTTTTGCCTGCGTAATGAGAAAGAGCTTCGTGCCAAATCTTTAGCAGACAAGCTCGTGCGGGCTCCTTGTAGCATGGCTGTGTTTTGGAAGGAAGTAAGGAGACTGAACTGTAGTCCTCCTCTAGCTCCCTCGATTAATGGTGTTACGGGCGAGTCGAATATTGCCGATATGTGGAAAGAACATTTCTCTGGGATATTGAACAGTGTTGACAATCCTAGTTGTAAGGTGTCTGTATTGCATAAGCTTTCATTAGATGACTGTGAATTGCTTCCTTTTTCAGTATGTGAAGTGACTAAAGCCATTAAGGAGTTGTCCTCAGGCCGTTCAGGCGGCAATGATCATCTTTGTGCTGAACATTTCAAATATGCTGGTAATTTATGTGCTGTGCATTTGTCCCTGTGTCTCACGCTGATGGTTAGACATGAGTTTTTGCCACCTGCATTAACTAAGGTTGTTTTGGTACCCATTGTGAAGGATAAAAATGGAAAACTAACTGAGAAAAACAACTACAGACCGATTGCAATTGCCAGTGTATGTTCTAAGATTTTGGAGAGAATTATTCTCAACCGCTCTTCTGTACAACTTAGTACTGGTCACCACCAATTTGGATTCAAGGAGCGTCACTCAACTGATATGGCGATATATGCTCTAAAGGAGATCACAGATTATTATTTGCGCAATGATAGTCCGGTGTTCATTTGCTATTTGGATGCTAGTAAAGCATTTGACCGTGTTAATCATTGGAAATTGTTGGATAAGTTGCTGTGTAGAGGTATGAACTCCCGACTGGTAAAACTTATAGCGTTCTGGTATAAGTCTCAACGTTTTCATGTACGATGGGGAAGTTCTGTATCGGCGGGTTTCAATGTGTCAAATGGTGTCAGACAAGGTGGTATTTTGTCTCCATTTTTGTTCAATGTATATACTGATGACCTCTCCGATATGCTTAATCGATGTGGTTATGGGTGTCATTATCTTGGTAGCGTAAATCATCTGTATTATGCAGACGATATGGTCTTACTTTCTCCGACTCCCTTTGGCCTGCAGCAAATGCTGCACATATGTGAGAGGTATGCGAAAGACCATGATATTTTGTTTAACTCCACTAAGACAGTCTGTATGGCCATGCTTCCAAAGAGATTCGGTGGTATGCATATACCTACAATATTGCTCTGTGGACATATGCTGAGTTTTGTTAGTACGTATAAATATCTTGGGTATCAAGTGTCTAATGATTTCTCCAGAGCAGATGATCTAGAAATCCGCCAGCAATATCGAGCATTGTGCTGTAGAGCCAACTCGCTCATCCGCAAATTTGCGATGTGCACGCACAGTGTGAAGAAGTGTCTTTACAATGCTTACTGCTCAAATGTCAGCTATGTACACTTGTGGCATTCTTATCACTTGTCTGATCTGAGAAAGTTCAAGGTCTGTTTTAACAACGCCGCTAGGATGTTTTTCGGCTACGAACGGTTCTGTAGTGCTTCTGATATGTTTGCTCAAGAGCATATAGATGGTTATGATGCACTGTATCGCAAAGCTGTATATAACTTTATGTCACGCTTATCCATGTCTGAAAATCGTATAATATCTGCATTGTACAACAATGACCTAAAATGCTCTTCATCTATTAGGAGGGTGTGGTCTCGAGCGTTATATGGATGGTAGACGCTACCATGGACCGGGGTGACTGTTGAACACCCCTTTTTGTTATGGACTTCGTGTCTGTTAATAAAGTGCTCTCTCTCTCTCTCTCTGTTACCAACTACAAAGAATTTGCTTTGCCAATTGGAACAGTTATATTACATTACAGGCTATTATAGACATGAGATTAGATTAAGTACAGCAAAAGCACAGTTACTAGGCAATAGACAGACAGGCGCAATGTTACCCGCTACACACGCAGTGACGAAAACACTACTGCGTCACTCGGGCACAACAGGTCCTGACTGGACCGGCGACCCACCGGTACTCACATCGCAGCGTGGCGAGGTCGAGCAAAAGCACTGCCCCGGCCGAGTCGAGTCGGGCGAGTGCCAGCGAGCGTGAGCAGGAGCGATCCAGAGCCGAGAGCCGAGCCCCGACCTACGCCACGCGCGCGTATTTATACCGTCACACGCAGGGTGACGTCACGACCCGCGCACTTTCACAGTATCCGAAGGTCCGCGGTAAAACATATACAAATAACACACCTGACCTGACCAAACATATACCTATAACTACATGTGTGGCCGAAAGAATCCTTTCTTATTCGTGAACTGAATCATATGCGAAACAAGTGCTAGTAACTCACGAAGCGATAAAACGACAGCGCTACATACAGAACACCAGATATGATAAAGGTCCCACTTGATATACCTAAGATCACAATTTTGTTAGCAGTTACAATCATCACAATAAACAATGCGACCCGGTACACCATCATTGTTTATTGTACCAGAAGGCCCGTATCGTTTATCGTAATGGTACATTGCCATTTTTTAAACCTAATACAACCGTCAAATGATACAACTTGCATTAGGTATGTTTTCTGTTTAGGATAAACCCGTGAAACCACGTAAGATACTGAACATTCCGTGACATACACCAGAGACCTAATGCATATCTCACTCTGAAGTACTGTACTGTATGTATGTGGTGTTCTGTTACGGACTGGTGTCCCTCTTTCGTTCCGTACCGTACGAGTGTGCCAGTGTCACCTAGCGGCAGTTCTGTTAACTGCAGGTTGTGGGGGTGGCGCTGAGGGCGAGTGACGTGTCCGTAGGCCGGCCGGCGGGGCAGTCGGTTGGCGACGGTGGTCACGGATGGTGACGGTCTGTGCCGTGCGCGTTTTGAGTTCTTCCTTTTAACCGGACTGTATATATCGCGTGGGTGGTGCAATACACTACAGTGGCGACGAGGACGAGATCCTTCTGCGCTGAGTGATAACAGTGATCGCCGCGATGGACTGTTTGCGTGCGCCAGCGCCATTTCTAGTGGCGCCAGGACGGCCGACCACGCCCTGGTCCCAGTGGCTTGGCGAGTTCAGGATTTTCGCCGTGGCGAGTGGTTGGGACGAGTGGACTGTTCAGCGACGAGAGGCCCTCCTATTACACTGTGTGGGACAGGAGGCGCGGCGTCTCTATTTCGCGGCGGCGAAACCGGCGCAGGGCGTGGCACCGGGAGCGCAGGAGGCGGCGATTCCGGCGCAGGAGGAAGATGGCGTCAAGGAGGAAGGACAACCGACTGCAGCAGTCGACCCGGTGGCTGCGATCTCTGCAGTGTTTCAGCGGCTGTTTCCGGAGACACGAGCGACTCATTCCGAGAGAATGCTGTTCCGGCGGTGTTACCAGCTGGACAGGTCTCCAGCGGTGTACCTCACTGAGCTGCAGGACCTGAGTTCCAGGTGCGCCTTCGGCGATCTCCAGGAGCAGCTGACCTGTGAGCAGTTCATCGAGGGCTGCAGGGACGACAGGTTGAGGGAGCGGCTGTGTCGGGAGCCAGCTCTGACTGTGTTGCGCATCCTCGAGGTGGCTGAGGAGCTGGAGGTGGCTGCTGAGCGACAGCGGCTGGTGGGTGGAGGTGGAGCTACACGTGCATCAACCTCTTCCCCGGCTCAGCTGGAGATAGCTGCAGTGACTACTGCTCCTAGGAAGGGGGTCTCGCCGTGCTGCAACTGTGGCGGTCCACACCGGACTGCTGATCCCTGCTGTCCAGCTCGTTGGAGAAGATGCCACAACTGCCAGCAGAAGGGCCACTACGCCAGATTCTGCAAGGAACCACCTAAGAAGACGAAGCAGACCAAGAGGAAGCCAGTAAGGACCGTTGAAGTGCTGGCCGTGACGGATGACGACCGGAAGAACCTGTGGACCGAGCTGCGGGTGGACCAGCAGCCACTGCGGATGCTGGCTGACACTGGCTCGGCCGTGAGCATCCTGCCGTTGTCCGTCTACAGGAAGCAGTTCCGCCATCTGCCCCTCCTGCCCACTGCAGTGCGCCTGGAGGCCTACGGAGGGTCATCGCTGCTAGTGCAGGGGGTGGTGCAGGTGACGGTGCAGGCGGAGAACGGCAACAGCTCCCAAGTTTCACTGTATGTGGTAGACGCTGGCGTGCCCCTGCTGGGCAGGGATCTGCAGGAGAAGCTGAAGTTGTCCGTGATTCACGGGGCGACTGTGTGTGCTATCCAGGAGCAGATGCCAGAGGAGCTGCCGAGTCTCACTGGGTTCGTGCACAGGGTGAAACTGAAGACCGAGGTCAACCCAGTACAGCAGCGGCTGAGACCTCTACCGTACGCCGTGAGGGAAGAGGTGCGGGATCATCTGTTGAAGTTGCAACAGGCTGGAGTCATCGAACCAGTCGACGCATCCCCATGGATCTCACCCATAGTGGTGTCCAGACGGCGGAACGGGAAACTGAGGCTGTGTGTGGATCTTCGAGAGGTCAACAAGGCGGTGGAAGCCAGCGGACATCCACTCCCCGACATGCAGGACATGTTGGAGCAGCTTCAGGGTGCAACCATCTTCAGCAGCCTTGACATGAAGTCAGCATACCATCAGCTGGATCTACATCCGGATTCAAGGTCGCTGACGACGTTCATCACCCATCAGGGACTGATGAGGTACAGGAGGTGTCCCTATGGGCTGAAGAGTCTGCCACAGGCGTTCCAGAAGGTGATGGAAGCCATCCTACGTGGTCTGGAAGGAGTGCAGGTGTACCTAGATGACGTCATCATCTACGCTGCGACCTCCAACCAGCACGAGAGGCGACTGACGGCTGTGCTGAAGAGGCTCAGGGAGCACCAGATCACGCTCAACATCGAGAAGTGCAAGCTGAGGAGAGAGCAAGTGGAGTTTCTGGGGTTCATCATCTCCAAGCAGGGGGTGGCAGTGAACCCAGACCGCATCAAGGCTCTCCGAGAACTGCGAGCACCTGCTAGCCTGAAGGACCTGCAGGCCATGCTTGGCCTGTTCGGCTTCTACAGCCGATTCGTGCCGGCGTACAGCACCCTAGTGGAGCCACTGCGGTGCCTGCTGAGGAAGGGGGCGCCACCCTTCCAGTGGACTGGCGAACTTCAGGCGGTGATGGACGGCGTCCGGCAGCGGATCCTGGAAAGCAGAGCGCTGGCCATGTACGACCCGACGCTGCCGACCCGGGTCACCACAGACGCCAGTGACGTGGGACTGGGGGCCGTGCTCTCTCAGGCTCACCCTGAGGGAGAGAGAGTGGTGAGTTTTGCGTCATGCAGTCTCACCCCGGCTCAAAGAAGATACAATGTCACGGAGAGAGAGGCCCTGGCATGTGTGTGGGCCGTGGAAAAGTGGCGGAAGTATCTCTGGGGTAGGCCGTTTTGCCTACGAGTCGATCACGCGGCTCTCCAAACGCTGATGACGTCACCGGGGGTGGGCCGAGCCGGCCTACGGGTGGCACGGTGGGCGTCACGTCTCATGGCATACGACTTCACCGTGGAGCATGTCAGAGGCGGTGACAACCCAGCTGATGGCCTCTCACGACTGCCAGGCGCAGAGGAAGGCGAACTGGATGATGATGTCGTGGCGGTGGCGGCAGTGACTGCCCAGCTCGGAGCAGTGCGGCGGGACGAGCTGCTGGAGGCGACACAGACTGACCCAGTGCTGTGCCCGCTGGTGCAGCAGATCCCACGGCGGTGGCCGCGACGGCGCCGCGACTGCCCGGCAGAGCTACAGCCCTTCTACAACTGCCGAGAGGAGCTCAGCCTAGTGGGAGACCTGGTCGTCCGCGGTCAGCGGGTGATCGTGCCGGCGGCGCTGCGGACGAGGATGGTGTCCTTGGCCCACGAAGGACATCAAGGGATCGTCCGAACTAAGCAGCGGGCTCGTGACATCTACTGGTGGCCCAAGATGGACACGGACATAGAAGAGGCGGTGAGAAACTGCGACGTGTGTGCTGACGTGGACAAGTCGGCTCGGACTCGCAGTGCGCCGCTAAACCCTGTGCCGCTGCCAGGAGCGGCATGGGAGAAGGTGGGCGTGGATTTTATCGGTCCAATGGAAGCGCGCCGCCAGCACCGATACGCGGTAGTGCTGGTAGACTACTTTTCCAAATGGATAGAAGTCGGCTTCTGCACAGAACCCAGCACGGAGGCGGTGGTGCAGTTTCTCGAGACGCTAGCATCTCGAGAAGGTTACCCGAAGGAGCTGGTGTCCGACAACGGGACACACTTCACCTCAGCAGCGTTCGCAGACTACCTGAGGAGTGTCGGCACGCGCCACATCCGGGTCACGCCGTACCACCCTGCCGGGTCAGGTGCGGTGGAGCGTGCGAATCGCACAGTGAAAAGTGCTCTCCAGGCGGCGGACCGGAGCGGCGAAGATCGAGCGTGTTATCTGCAGAAGTTTCTGCAGACGTACAGGAGCACGCCTCACGCCACGACGGGGCTGAGTCCAGCCGAGCTTCTGCACGGACGGAAGCTGAGGACACGTCTGCACGCGGCGGCTCTTCCCACGGAAGAACCGCAAGATCGTGAGCTGCGAGACAGAGTGCAGAAGAGGCAGAAGAAGCAGAAGAGGTACGCTGACGAGCGGCGTGCAGCTGAGACACCACGGTTCCAGGTTGGCGACTGGGTCCGGTGCCGGCTGGTGCCGCGTCCCAAGAAGGGACGGCCACGGTACTCCGAGCCGAGACGGGTGGAGTCTCGCCTGGGACCAGTCAGCTACAGGCTAGATGACGGCTCCCGGATCCACGCAGAGCGGCTGACGACAGCTCGGGCGCCGCAGCAGTCTCAGGCTGAGCTGCACGTGGATCAGAGCGGCCAGCCGGGGGCTGGTCAGCGGAGTGCGGTGTCTCCGACGTCTGTGCCTCGCCGCGGGGAGCGGCTGGAGGCCGACGACTGGCGGCACGCGGAGGACGGCGTGCCACTGGAGGACGGACAGGCTGTGTCACTGGGGGTCGGCCGGCGGCACACCGAGGCCAGCCGGGGTCCCGCGGAGGACGGCGTGGCTGTGTCACCGGAAGACGCAGAGGACGATCGGGAGCGGGAGGCGTCACCACCTCCGGCGACGGAGCGTCAGGCAGAGCAACAAGACGCTTGCGTACTGCTGTCGCCGCGCGAGGCAGCGAGCGGTGCCGGGCTGGTGGCGGTCGAACCTGCTCTCCAGCCGGGCGCGAGAGTGAACTCCGGGACGCAGCCGGTGAGGAGGTCCCAGCGTACGAGACGTGCGCCAAATAGACTGTAACTTTTTCCAGGGGGGAAGAATGTGGTGTTCTGTTACGGACTGGTGTCCCTCTTTCGTTCCGTACCGTACGAGTGTGCCAGTGTCACCTAGCGGCAGTTCTGTTAACTGCAGGTTGTGGGGGTGGCGCTGAGGGCGAGTGACGTGTCCGTAGGCCGGCCGGCGGGGCAGTCGGTTGGCGACGGTGGTCACGGATGGTGACGGTCTGTGCCGTGCGCGTTTTGAGTTCTTCCTTTTAACCGGACTGTATATATCGCGTGGGTGGTGCAATACACTACAATGTACAACCTGCAGTCTGTAGATGTCGGTCCTGCAATAGGTTATTACGCACGTATCTATCGTTGAATACGTCGTAATCCATTATCAACAGACAATAAATCATATGATCCGTATTCCAGGCAAAAGAATAAGAACTGTTGCAATCCAATACAGTGCTTACGACATAAATACAATAAACTACATATTTTAAACGTCGAAGAAACGCGTGCGTCACGCGGCGCCAATCATATGTTATACAGTGCTACAAAGATATAAACCTGTTCCGATCCAAGGCCGTGCAATTAATACAATCAACTGCATAATGTTAATGTGGAAGAGAGCGCGCACGCCGCGCGGCACAGCTGTAGGTGCGACGTGGGCTGTGTCGTCCCACGCTGACCCGGTTTCGCCACCGCTCTGTCCCGAGGGTCGGGCACTGCTTGTGCGTAGATTTCCACACCTTGCCGCCTCGCCGGTGCGTGCGGGTGGGGAGGTTTCATCACGGCGCCGGCCTCGGCCAAGGCCAGCTGGACTTGGTCCTCGCTGCCGCTGCGTGGTGTTACGAGCCTTGTGCCACCATGGCGGCGACACAGGCCGCGTTCAGCTCGATCATGCACCTCGGCAGCGCGGGTCGCACCTCACGGCGACCGTGATTTTCTCACAGAGCTATTTGCAGTCTCTGCAAGAAAGCATCTGATGCTGCGCCTCATTATGTGAAAATTGTACCAAAGTAGGCTTAATCAGCTGAAATGGCTTCATGAGCCGCACTGAATATGTTTGGTTTATGATCACGAATTAAGGTGTTTATAATGTCATAATGAGTCCGACGGGCTGATGAAACTGGATCGTAACAATCCCCATTTATCTATTTATAAAGCGAGTCATACAACGCATGAATAACCTTTAATTCGTAATAATACTGACTATGGGGTGATCACCGAGGGATAATGTCTATGTCCATAATCCCATAACAGAATGTCTTCTTTATTCGTTTTTTATGTTGTAACACAGGCTTCGGAAATAATTAGTCAAGTGCCGAGACCCGACCGGGAAATATTTTTGTAACTCATTTCAATTTCTTTTCAACTCATTTCAACTCATTTCAAAACATTTCAACTAATTTCAACTCTTTTCAGAAGCACAACAGTTCGTGCTAATACTTAGTCACCTGTCACACCCACTACTAGCTACTATCTACTATCTACTGTCTACTATCTACTATCTGCGACCAGCTACTATCTGCGACTGCAATGCTAGTCATAGTCACTGCTTATCACTGCCGTTGGTAGCCATAGTTACTGCTTATCAGTGTAAGTGCTAGCTATTGTCATCGCCAGTAATGTAACAGCTAGCCACAGTCGTCACTCTATGGTGACGACTGACTAAAGTAATGACTAGTCATTAATTGTAACTGCTAATAAATGTAATTGCTAGTTACCCACTTCGACTCCATTGTTTTCTGTGGGAAGCCGAAGGTAAAACTCTGCTCAACTCATTGTTCAATGTTCATAATGGCAATATGCTGTTGTATAATATGGGGAAACTCTCCTAGTCTATGCAGTGGTTTACCGTTCCGGAACAATGACAAATATCTGGTGGTGTACAGTTGCGAAAGGTTGTTTGCAGATGAGAAACAGTAAATCACCTCATTATAACTCGTGTAAAGAGTTGCAGTGCGATCGTAGCACCTAGGGACGAAGTCTCGGGTATATTTACTCCCCTATATGCGCTTTATGCGTACGCTATATGCGTAGGTGGCTGTGAAAACACCAATTTTATATTTACGGTACATACCTACCGATATAATGCAAGTATGCGTGCTACTGTAATTAAACGACGAAAATTAATATTCGGCGCCAGATAGGAACCAGGTAAAACAGGTCAAATACTTTACATTTTCAACTCAACATCAAGCATGGAACTCCAAATGCTTAGCTATCCGTTAAATATTTTCCTTTCATACGTTTATAAAGCTCTTTATAAGATTTAACGACCGATCAAGTGCTCCAATATTTTACAGCTTTCGAGGGTAAGCGATTTAATGGAAGGTTAGAAGCTCCTCAGGATTGTGATCGGTGAGCGACCTGGTGCCCGAAAAATACCGACGGTTTCAGGTGTCGCACTCTGCGTGCCTTTCACTGCTTGTTTAAGTGCACTTAAAGTGCGGCTTGGACGTGTTTTATTTGTACACATTGTTTTGGCTATTTTTGGGCTACCTTCGCTCAAGCTTTTAGCTAATTTGGACACGTTTTGAGTGTGAAACGTTATGATTGTAGTTGAATCGTGATTTGTGTTTCGTGCGTTGTTTATAGCGCTATTCCAATGTTTTCAATTCGGACACCTTTCTGCCATGCCTTAGCTTTTAACATGCAGCATGTGATCACACATAGACCGGACAGAGACCCATAGATATAAAAGACTAGATGGGACATTGGCAGTGTTTTAGTGCGTGCGACTGGCCGCCATGTTTGTGAGGGCGGGAATCTGCGGCGCTGTGTAAACACTACGGGAGGAGGGGGGTATTTGAGACTGATTTTGTGGTATTTTTCGACCGAAAAGTGCTAATCTTTTTTGCTCACGGCATTCTTTGGAATGTGTAGATTGTGGAACAAGTGCTGAAATATGCTTATCTATTGTAATTTGGCTACGTTAGCCTTAGACATGTTGCGCTGTTGACGCTGATGAAGGATAGGCGGCACCAAAGGTAGATTTGCTTGGCATGCCTGTTTTAGATTTAATTCAGTTCCCATGTTTTTTTTTGTGCTCACCACAATCCTTTAATTATTCTTCATGGATAGAGCATCAGTCATATGATTTTTCACAAAGAAAGCTTACCTAGATAGGTACCAGAACATTGGCAGCGGAAAGCAGACTCATTACCTACACTTGCTTTGCCTGCTCACTTTCTACTGTTGCCTTCAATGGACAATATTTATGAAGTAAGAAGGTTTTATGATTATAGGTCTTAAATAAGTACTTTACTTAATGTCATCAGTTAGTATTAAATAGTAGTTCAGTGCCAAACGAAAAATCCATGCACTATGCCAGATGCCTCGGGGGCTCTTATCCGCTCTGGGTTCAGAGTGCAGTGGCATACCACGCTCACCCTCAACCAGAACTGATAGATAGTGAAAATGCCAGACGTCGTGATATCTGCACCAGTGAACCGTGTCGCACATTTGATCCCAATAATGAACAGCACAGGGGTGACGTAAAAATGTGAGTTAGTTGGAGCACCTAAACTCAGATTGTCATTACCTAATTAGTTTTCACATTGTAAAGCTTAAACTACACTTCATGCTCTTTTGGCTCACCTGTTATCAGTATCAGTAAATAGGGTATTAGTAAATCTGGTGTTACCATCAATGCTAAGTGCTAACAAGTAAATATGAAGTCCAAGGAAGATAAAAATCATAATCTTACTTGACCTAACCTTACCTACTAACCTAACTAACCTACAACCTACAAACCTCAACCTACATACAACCTCCATACCTACAACCTACCCACCTACAACCTACCAACCTCATATGTGCCGACGGTGGCACCAGATTTATGGATACCCTTATTTGTTAGGTACTTCACTCCACTTCTCATTTTATTTGAAGCTCATTTAACCCGCGCCCTGCTGGGGGTCCTGGATTTCCACGCCCTGCTGGGGGGGGGTGTTTGAACACCCCCCCTTGTAACTCGGCTCCTGGGCCACGTAGCGATACGCGGAAGGCGGCGTTCGAAAGAGCGTAAAAAATAATGACGAAATCACTTCGGTCAATTTTTTGGTCAGGTCAAAGGTCAGGTCAACAGAGGTCATTGAAGGCAAAATTTCGCCGATTTCCAGGTCGAATGTCGAAAATTTCCAAGAAGCCAACGCATAACTCGGGAACCAATAGAGCTACAGCGCCGCGGAAAAGCGCATTCGATAGCCCTATTAACGCCCTTTCTGAGTAATTCTCTCAGATTTGACCTAACGTCAACGGTTTTGCCTGCAGGGGGCAAAAACTGCAAAAATAGCCGATTTTTTCGAAAACAGTTTTTCTGCAATAACTTTTGACCCAAGCCTTGTACGAGCTTACTTTTACCGGCATCGTGTTCCTCTCGTCAAGACGCATCGAATGAACTATGTCTTGACCTTGAAAGGTCAACTTGAAAATTTGACCTCAGGTCAAGGTCATGACCTGACCGGAAAGGGTCATGTTGCATATCAGTCGATCCGTATCGTCGAGCTGAACACATCTAAGGCGTTTTCATCGCTCTAGCATGCCTCTATCAAAAGTTATTTGCGAAAAACTGTTAGATACCATTCGTGACCTAAGATGACCTCAGGGCATAAACAAGGGTCACGGACACCATTTTCAAGTTCAGTGTGTCTAAACCACTTGTAATTCGGTGTTTGGGAGTGTTTATAATGTCTTTCATCCAAAAGAGGCGCATTTCAATTTTCTCCCATTGACTTATAATGGGGAGGTCGCAAAATTGACCTGACCTTAGGTCATCGATATCAAAATTCTGAGATATACACTTTGTACATGCTATTGCTCTTAGCAATCGCTGAAAGTTTCAAAGCGATCGGTCACTCGGTGTAGCTATGACAGACATTGAAAGTTTTTATGAGGTGAGGTCACTTCAAGTGACCTGGTGACCTGACCTTGAATGACCTTGGTCTGAAATTTTCACAACATGTGTAGAATTGATGTGTGGTAAGGTGTACCAAAAACGGCGGCGCTCCGCGCCGCCGTTTTTGAGATATTCGCGAAAAACCACAGGGGGGGGGGGGTGTTCAAACACCCCCCCCCAGCAGGGCGCGGGTTAAATTCTTGTATTTAAGTCTGTGTAAACTATTATTTTAAAAACCTGATGCTTTTCCATGACTGTAATCTCACTGTTTGCTATGTGTATTTTGTAGTGTGTACTGTGTGCAAATCCAGTATCCTACACTTGTATGC